GGGGGCAAAGCGAACGAAATTGCATCTTTGCCTCGCAAAGTAAATTACATAACAGTATTGAAACTACCTTCGCAACAAGATGTTATATCTTCGCAACAAGATGTTATTGTCCCCGCCCTTTCCATATACAAATGCCTACATATATATAAGGGACTATATTGTCAGTTTTGAATTCATCGAATTTTGTTAATCTTCTGATACGTTTTGTAGTTAAAGTGGACGACTGGATCAAGAGTGCAGAAGCTCAACTTCCTCCCGAAGTCGCAGGTTTGTTTTATTTCAGTTTTCATGTCTTTCAGTGTCTATATAGCTAGACCTTTTTCAGCTTCATCCATATTTTAGCCAGCAATATGCTTTATTACTTTTTTTGTAACTTTTTTTCGTATTACGTATCCGTAAAAACTTGTAAACCTGGTTTTCCAAGCGTAAGCATAAACGTAAAAGAGGCAAACGTACTCAATCCATGTACTCTTCTCATTGCGGTGTAACATAACATAACGCAATTAAGGGCAGTCGTGGACACTTCCATGCACCTTTTTTTCCTGGAAGTCTTAGTTTTTTAAACTTTTACGCCTTAAATTTCTTGCAATGTATATAGCAGAATTTATAGCCTACCGATGCTTTCATGGTTGAAGAATTATTGTTACAGCCTTGTTACACAGTTTTTCAGCTATCATTTAAAGCTTTCTGAAATGGTCTTTGCATCCCCAACCACTGCCTCCCCCCCCAACCACTGCCTCCCCCCTTCAGTATCCGCCATTGTATAAAACATACGAATATCAAAATCTTCCGTTGTTTTGCTTACGCTCATGCTTTAAAGCTTAAATTTCTTGCAATGTATATAGCAGAATTTATAGCCTACCGATGCTTTCATGGTTGAAGAATTATTGTTACAGCCTTGTTACACAGTTTTTCAGCTATCATTTAAAGCTTTCTGAAATGGTCTTTGTGATCCTCCTTAACCACTGCTCTCTCTAACCACTGCCTCCCCCCTTCAGTATCCGCCATTGTATAAAACATACGAATATCAAAATCTTCCGTTGTTTTGCTTACGCTCATGCTTTAAAGCGTTCCGCTTTCGCTTGTGTTATGCTTATACTTGCGTTGTAGTAAAACGCAGGCTTACATTATATATTTTGTTTATTTCGCAGTTAAAAAACCCACCCAGCCAAAATCTGCAACACACGTGAAAGCAGATGCAGGCGAGTACGTTGACGTGTACGAGCCTCCACCAGAAGCGAACACCAGCGAGGACTACTGGGATGATTTTGAGGACACTATTTATGATAAAGACGATGATGAAGCGAGTGTTGCTTCGGGACATGTGTTCAGTACACCAGTACCAGCTGTAGTACTGTATGATTACACCGCAGCATCTGCTGATGAACTGACTATTGTTGAGAACGAAGAGGTTGAAGTGATGGAGAAAGACGGGGAGGGTTGGTGTAAGGTAGGGGACTCCATGCTGTTTCAGCTAATGCGCATACCACTTTGACGCAGTGGGTATGAAGGTGTAAATATGAGTATATGGCGTTCGGTATGAACTATCGAAGTTATTGAAGAAATCTGAGCTGGAAATCAAACAATTCAAGAGGTTTTTGGACATTGTAGGTTGAGAGTATCATAAAATAATTTCTGTGTAGTTTTTTCACCCACAAGCTCGTCACAGTGCGTCAGTGTGCGAATGCGTGCGATTATATTGGATCTCTCGAGCGAATTACATACACTTTCATTTTAATTTAACATATAGTTTTATACAATACTATTTTCAAATCTTCTGTTACTCACTTACACACTAAAAATGCACAAGTTGTTTTAGGTCTGCGAACAAGTTGTTACAAATCTGTTCACAAGCTTTCGACAAGTTGTCTTCGCACTGCTTGTTCCCAGTTGTTGTAACAAGTTTGGAACAACCTGTTAACAAATTGTAACAAGCTTAATGGCATTATCAGATTTGTTACAAGGTTGTTCTAACAAGTCTGATATTAGTCTGATACAGTCATGATATAAACAAGAATGTTACAAGGTTGACGACACAAGTTTGTAACAATATTGTTATATCATAACTGTATCTATCGGACTTGTTGGAACAACCTTGCAACAAGTCTGATAATATCAACAAGGTTGTTACAAGTTGTTAACAGCTTGTTCCAAACTTGTTGACAACTTGGGACAAGCAGTGCGAACACAACGTGTTGACGGCTTGTTAGCAGACTTACTACAAGGTGTGAGATTTTTACGTGTGTACTGTTCAGTGTGGCATCGTCTGTTGCATCTATTTTTCACGTGGGATTTGGATTTATGAGCCCTTTTATACATTAATGACTGGAAATTTATAAAAATTATAATGCACCATAAAGTCCTGTTACTCAATCAATCTCTTTACCTACATTTTTATTTCTTGTTCACCCAGGGTCGAAATAGAAATGGACAAATTGGATACTTTCCAGAGTCGTATGTCCAAATTAGCGCCAGTCCACCTTCGACAATATCTGGAGCGAACTCAGTTCCGGACAATTTGTCACAAGACATTGTAATGGCGACTGAAATTACTCAGAATGAACACCAAACAAGTAAGTACATTATTTGGAGTGACTATAGTGACTCTTCGACTGTAAATCCCATTAGAGTTGATGAAAGTTTGCCAGCGAAAGTTTTCTCATTCAGTCAAGCGAGAACTAGAGTTGCATGAGAGTTAAGGCTCTTTTCCACCCATCGCAAAATCAACTCGTATGCTCGCTGCAAATACTTGCATCTAATTAAAATACACTGTCAAGCATTATGATTGAATGAAAGTATTCGCTCAAAGTTTTTGCAATGAGTAAAAAAGAGCCATTAGTAAGACTTGACTGCATTGATATTACCGCGCGCTTAGCAAAAAGTCGTCAACTCTCATCAAAATTTAAACCATCTCAAAGTTGTGGCAATTGATACACAATGCGGAAATCGTAATTTAAAGATAAAAAGCAGAGCCCCCTCAGCCCAGCAAATAACTTTAAAACCACACATAATAAACGTAAAAATTTAATAGCTAACATTTTCGTTGTTTACAACACAACATCTTCCGAGCAATCTAAACAATTTACAGGGCATGGTATATATATATATATATATATATATATATATATATATATATATATATATATATATATATATATATATATATATATATATATATATATATATATATATATATATATATATATATATATATACACAAAATAATGGTTTAATATTGCAAAAACGCTTACAAAGTTTGAAAGAACAAATGAATAGAAAGAAAGGAAAAAACTTATCAGTAACCAGTTAATTAGCAAAGATTAATGTTAAGTGCATGGTTAGTGTACAGTAGTTGAGGTTTATATTACATAACTAAAATAACTCAAGAGGGGTAGATCTAATATTAGCATTAAGGACAGGGTTAAGTTGAGAAATGAATAGGTTTCACGGATAAGAAGATCCCACTCAGAAGTGCCTGATGATAAAATTTTGAAATCAGAAGCGGAGACTGTGTGTTTGTGCATGTGTTTGTGAGCGAGTATACCAAACACGGTTGAGATCGAGCATTCTTTTCCAGTCAAAGGCGAGACTCCCACATGCTCTTTTATTATGTTTGGTTTTAAAGTTATGTGCTGGGCTCTGCTTTTTCATCTCAAAGTTAATGAGAGCTAGTCAATGCGAGTTGCACCTCTCATCCACCCCCAGTAATCTCGGGCAGGCGTGAGGATAATCGTCGCTCAGTTGAACTTGCATTTTCGTTCTGCCGTACACGCTTGACCATTTTACCCGACCTGGGAAATATTTCGCCAGGATTTCACATTTAAACAACTAATATCCCTTTGCTCGTAGTTTGTATAGCGCGAGCTCTGTTTGACTACACTGGTCAAAACGATGAGGAGCTGACATTCGAGGAAGGAGCTGTTATAAATATTTTACGTAAAGATGATGGAGATGTGGACGACGGTTGGTGGGAAGGTGAATATAACGGCAATATTGGAGTCTTTCCTTCGTTATTGGTCGAAGACCTAGATGATCAGTCGCAAGGAATAGAGGAAGAACAACAGCATTATGCTCTTCCTTCGCATGTATATAACGAAGAAAACAGGACGCGGAATCTGTACGGGACGTTGCCACGCCATGTGCAGGTAGAAGCGTCACATGAACAAAATGTATGCGATAGTTTAGATTTGACAATGACGCGCACGGCACCCACGAGGCCCCGTTTACCGCAACATCTTTTGCAGCAAAACGCCCAGCGGAGTTCCAGTTACGACCGGAATGAATACGTGTAGGAATGTGTAGGTATAAGAAATTTGTTAATATCGTAATTATTGTAACCAAGTTACTAGGAATTTTAATCATTCGACAAACATACACCACAAGGTGACTTTTTGTGGCCAATCAATTTGCACATGCGCCATGACCACATGAACAACTGAATAAATGAAACCATCAACTCACGCCTATAGACATCGACCGGAGACAGTTCATCTCGAACGACCTGGAAGGCGAAGTGCCAGTTGCATTTGATTGAGTGAAACCAAATTTTCCAACCGAGCTGCTTGCGTTATCTCGTGGGAAAATAAATACCTTAAATCACATGTGTTTAAAATTTTTATTTTTTATTTTATATTATTAATTAAAATTATTAATTAGGTATTACCTCATACCTTTCCCAATGCTTCGTCCAACAAAGGCAATAATGGAAGCTTTTCATATGGTCACTGGGTTTTAGTGTTTTATTGGTGCCGAGAAACAACCATGCACCTTTAATTTTCAACATTTCTGGGGCTTTGAAACAATAATTTAGCTTTAAAGTTTGTCTTCAAATGTCCGAATGGAGGTAGCGTTCCAGTTAACTTCATTTCTCTGATCCAGACCAGGCCAAGATTATTACGATACTTTTACACTGTTTGCTTTGTCACATGGCGTGGTCGTGGGCCAGCATAGGTCAGGGTTTTGATGTTGTTTTGCGATTGGCTTCATAAAACACTTGTGATCATTGTTTATGACTCGTTCTTTAGAAATGTGATTTCTACAGTTCATTGTTTTTTATTGTTATGATCAACCAATCACAAAGCCGTTCATAGGTTTGTGACGACCCTTGTGTCAGGCCTGGGCTAGGTCAAAGTTTGTTTACAGAAATGTAGGCCAAAACATGGCTCGGGTCAAGATACGGCTTTACTATATGCCCCTAATACCTGACTTTAAGGTGATTCCTCAAGTGTTTCTGCAGTTAGAATGCGCTGAAGATATCCAGGATCGTGAACATTTCGACATGCTCATTATTAGCAGAAAAACGTTAGGGTCACAGGAGACGATATTAATGGCGCTTCTTTACCCTAGCATTAAATTAATGTGCACCTATCTATCTCTCTATCTATCTAAAACCGAAGAATCATCATGATAATACAAAATTTATATTTAAAATAGACAGTTAAAATGTACATAAAGGGCGTAAAATTCGTTGCAAAACAATTTCGAGACTTTCCAGAAGATTTGGGTTTCCTAAACATTGAACAGCTTCCACAATTGTTCCAACAAATATGGTATGCAAGACAGGGTTTAGTTTTGTTTAGTTTATACCACGTCGAATTTTTTGGATCCAAGTTAATATTTCAATCCTTATTGGAGTGTGTTTGTCCCGGGTATAGTTTGACTTCGGCCAATAATTGTAGGGAAGACTAAATACGTTAGCGCTCCAGTACATTCCGAGTAAAACGGAGTCCACATCCCTAGGGAGCTTTGATACCTGTTCAAATTTTTTTGGGAAAAGAAGAGGGTTCATCGCATCAAGATGAACAAAAGACTCGTGGAGAACGATCACAAATTGTCGTTAAATAATTAAGGTTCTTATTGTAAGAATTAAATAAAGATGTTTTCTTCAACAAAATGCTTCCAGCCAGTGTTATTATATGAAACGTCTTTTAAAGGGGAAAGATTCCAAGTTCTCATACGTATATAAAGTATGTGTTCATCCTTTTCAATTACGGTTATGTAAAAGGATATTGATAAAGTAACAATCGATGGGTGATCCAAAATTGAATTTCAGGTGCAGTATCTTATTTGTTTTCTTTGAATCAATGTATGGCGTATATCTTCGTTTCCGATAAACCCAGCCCATGGGGGACTATTGAAGAGGGCACTGGATTGTCTGTGGTGGCTGTAGGATTGGGACTGGGGTTAAGGATGTTGATTGGGGTCAAGATTAGGATTAAAAAAATATCTCGAAATTTGCCATTCCGCATGGCATTCCGCACTCATGCATTCAGCACGCCGTTCCGCTCAAATTCAGCACGCCATTTGCATGTCATTCCCCGCATGCATTCGTCACACATTCCGCATGCCATTCCACATGCCAAGTTACCGTCATTATTTCATAAACATGCATGCAACTGGACGAATTTAGGCCAGTAAAAGCCGTTTTTCAACGCCATGGCCGATTTGCTGTTAGCAATTAATTACCCAATCGCTTTTAATTTAAAACATGATGTCTATTAACCCTTGTCTATATATGCGTGCAAGTTAATATTCAGTTGTCATGGCCGCTCGGGACACCTATCGTTTCTATATTGTATTGCTTCAAAATTAATTATCTCTTGTGTATCGTTTTTTATGCTGCTGCGGTTGCCGATAAAGTTATTATAGACTTAATTCAAGAACAGATATACGGCATAAAGAGGTGATATATGGTGGGAATTTTTGGAACACTATTTAGCTAAGTAACTAAAGAAGATGTATTAAAAACGTACAGAGCAAGAATGTGTTCTAGATCTGAGCATCGTTTATTTTAATACATACTTGAAACTGGCATTGTTATTGGTTTCTTAAGTGCCAAATTCGACACGACGACAGGCATGTTTCAGAAAAGGTAAAGTCTAGGAATTTCTTTTTTTGCTATTGTGAATAGTCAATTAACTATAACGCCGAGTTTTTACGGAATCAGTATAGCAAAAGAGCTACTCGAATCGAATCTGTAAAGTGCATTTTCAAATACACTAGACGCAGGAGGCATATATCCCCTGCAATGCCCTGCCAATGGTGATATATTTAATTAAATTAACATTCCTTTAATTTAATATACACGAAGTTCTAGTTTAAGAGTGATCAATGTTTCCATCTTACTTCAGAGCTGTAATTGATCATACGATCATACATTGACTTGACAAAGACTATTTTTGTGCTAAAATCTTCTTTCGTTTACGGAATCCGTGGGCGAGTTCTGGCATCAGACTTTAGACTTGTTAAAGGTTATTTAGGTAAATTGTTGCAAAATAATTTTGCCAGGCAATAGATGTCCTTGATGATTCATGCCGGCTTGCCAGAAAAGCTATTAATTGCGCAAGCTGTGGCATAGAGTTTTTTCCGAGGGGCAATTCACTCCAAAAATCCCGTACACTTCGTCAAAAAATCCGGAAAAAATCCAGAAAAAATCCATGAAATCCTCAAAATCCGTCGAATCCATCAAAATCCGAAAAATCCTTTAAAAACCACAGAAATCCTTCAAAAATCCACAGAAATCCTTCAAAATCCTCAAAAAAATCCGCAAATCCACAAAAAATATATGAAGTACTTGGTGTAATTTACTCGTAAAGGTTCTTTGCCACGTTCAAAATGGCGGACAGCGAAAGCTAAACGCTTAATACCGTGATCGCTGATTCGCTGTCATTATATTTCGTAATTATTGGACCACTCTACATTTCCATTTATACGTTCGAGTATATGCTAAGCTTTTTTAGCCTATTACTACTAAATATGTGTTCTTGTTGCAATGACGTTATGTTGTAAAATATAATTACAAAACCAAAAGTTATTCTCTTTTACTGTTTTTGAAAGAATAATGAACTTGTTTGAATTTTAAACAAAATGACTGCATGCCCAGTCTTCGTTAGTTTCTGAAGGCTGTGGTCCTAGTCCCAGTCCTCTGCTCGACCCTGACGTCCTGGCATAACGTTGACGTCGTACAACTTAAGATTATTTGTTCAAAACGTTACCTAGCTCTATAACTCTATAATTTAAAAAAAATCCAGAAAAAATCCGAACAAATCCGGAAAATCCAAACAAATCCGGAAAATCCAACAGATTTTCAAAAATCCAGAAAAATCCGGAAAATCCGAACAAATCCGGAAAATCCAGCAAATTTTCTCTTCAAAAATCCGCTAAAAAATCGGGGAAAAATCCGCTAAATCCGCTAAAAAATCCGCGGATTTTTAAAAATCCGAAAATCCCGTACGCTTTTTTGGAGTGAAATGCCCCTCGGTTTTTTCGGCAGATTTCAGAAGGTTTCTGACTTCGGACTTTGAATTCATCGGGAATTTAATGGATAGTGCGTTTGTATAGAGGTTTTCATCAATCGCGATCAATCAAATTATTCTGTTCCAGGTATAATGATGTTTACACACAAAGGCCTTACAGGAGCAGCCATATTACATTACATTTACAGCAAGTCATAGGTTTCCACGGATCTCTTCTGACGTATCGGGCACAGGGCCGGATTAACGTTCCGCGGGGCCCGTGGCATATTATCAGCGCGGGGCCCCTTGACCCCCCCCCCCCAACGGCATCTTAGACACTGAATTCAGTCAGATTAAAAAAATATTCTGTTGCATTTCATGCGTTGAAAAATTTCGTTTTGTATTTAGAAAAGAAAAAATAATTATACATCAATAATTTGATTGAATCCGAAATTCAACCCAGTTTATACCATTAACATTATTATTATTTACAGAGGAAAAATAGCTAAACATGATAGCGTCCATGTAAACTTCTTCCGTTTTCCACAAAATTCAGCAATCTAGTATTTAACAGTTTACTGCAAATTTTAAAATTTTCTGACCCCTATGATTTTTTGGCCTCGCTTTTTGGAGCCCGTTGCCCAAAGAAGTAACAAAAAAATTTGTTTGCGGCCCTGCTTTTGGAGCCTCGTTTAAAACTTTGGGGCTTCGCTTTTTTTATTTTGGGGCTTCGTTTTTGGGGGCCTTGGACTCTTTGGGACCCCGCGCTGAAACAGAGAACAAAAAAAAACGTTTGGGGCCCCGCTCTTTCGGGTCTAGATTTTTAAATTTTGAGGTCTGAAGTCTTTCTGGGGACCTTGGGCTCTTGGGGGCTACGCGCTGAAACAAAGAAGAAAAACGTTTGGGGTCTCGCTTTTTAAATTTTGGGGGACTTGGGCTCTTTGGGGCCCCGCACTGGCGCACTGTTTGGGCCCCGCTCTGAAACAGGGAAAAAAACGTTTGGGACCCCGCTTTTTGGGGCCTCGCTTTTTAAATTTTGGGGGACTTGGGCTCTTTGGGGGCCTTGGACTCTTTGGGGCCCCGCGCTGTTTGGATCCCGCGCTGAAACAAGGGAAAAAAACGGTTTGGGGCTGCGCTCTTTGGTGTCTAGATTTTTAAATTTTGAGGTCTGACATCTTTCTAGGGACCTTGGGCTTTTTGGGGCCCCGCACTGTTTGGGCCCCGCGCTGAAACACTGAAACAAGAGGAAAAAAGTTTGGGGGCCCGCTTTTTGAGGCCTCGCTTTTTAAATTTTGGTGGACTTGGGCTCTCTGGGGCCCCGCACTGGCGGACTGTTTGGACCCTGGTTTGGACCCCACGCTGAAACACTGAAACATGGGGAAAAACAAAAAAAAAACAACGTTTGGGGTCCCGCTTTTAGGGGCCTCGCTTTTTAAATTTTGGGGGACTTGGGCTCTTTGGGGCCCCACTGCCGCACTATTTGCATGGGCCCCGCGCTGAAACAGAAAACAAAAAATTCGGAATAAAATAGCAGAGAGTGAGCGCGGGGCCCCCAAAAGCGCGGGGCCCGCGGCATATGCCGCTTCTGCCATATGGTTAATCCGGCACTGATTCGGGCACCGTTTAATCTATTATTATTAGTAGTAATAAAAATATAATGGATTTATTTACACGTTCAATAGTAATAGCTAAACTACAACATGTTTACACCAAAATATATTAGGATTAATTACGTCACTTAAAATAAGTCAATATAGAGACCAAATTGACTAAACTATTTAACTATAAAACTATACAAGTTATATGTAATGTGCATATAAAAATCTCTAACGATCTAATTTAGAATTTTAAAGGGGCCCTACAGTCATTTTTTAGTCGAAAAGCCACCTTAAGTAGGGGACTCCACGGAGATTCGTTTCGCTGTATCTTACATGCAGTATCCATGAGTATGAGTACTTCCGCACACCGGAAGACGCATATGCATGCCGTGGTTGCGTATGTCGAGTAGCGACAATAACAAAAAAATGTAAACAATACTTAAGGTGGCTTTTCGACTAAAAAATGACTGTAGGGCCCCTTTAATTTATTAAGACGTTCAGTTTTACAAAAAAAAGTTGCAAATCTTTTGACCATTTGACCTGGTTATGTCCCTATATTATCATTCAGTTGTTTTGGTAATAGACCGTAAGTCTTTGCGATGGTTCTAGCATTGTCTTCAATTAACGAGGTAGATAATTTATTCCTGCGTTCTTCCAAGAACTAATATAGTAATAAACAGTCAATGCTTGTCAATGTCGTTTTCCATGCACTTCAAGCGTACCGTATACCGAAATGTATCAAAAACATTTGAAAATTAAAAAAAATTAGCAAATGTTGATTTCGTAATTACGGTACAATCGAATACTAAAAATCACTTTTGGAGGTACCATTATATAGCTCCTTAAGATTTTCAATAAAGATAAAGACTCTTGAATCTCTTAGTTATGTATTCGGTGGTCGTATCTAATTTTGAGGTCTTCTTTCCATATTCCTAATAATTTATATAACAATTTCACACTAGAATTTACGCCACTGGCGTAACGGGGGAAGAGGGGGCCCTTAGGTATATTTGGTGTGGGTGCCCCTTATATTTATATTGAATATTTATAGAATGTTCTGGAAACTTCCGTGTCTATAACAATAACAATTAACAACAGTCTCCAACTCACGCAACAGCTAATAACTGAATAACTTTTAATTTGTTTTATTTGAGATGGAATAAATGAATCAGCTACCGTTGTCGATGGAAGCTTTGTTATTTACCATTATTAATTTTGCATTTTCTCATGGATTCTTAACCTGCAATTTTTTACGTTTTCTAATTTATGGGCGATAGGTCGTGGCTGATGGGGACCCTAATTGTCGGGGTCCCTTAGTTTTTGAACTAACCCTACCTAATGAGCCAGGCCACAGACGGAATATTGGATTGTCCCCAAATAGTTAATTAGTTGATGGTATTTCTGACTTATATATTTCTTTATATTACATATCATATCTTTGTGTTTCTTCCCATTAAGTTCTTTTCTCTCATCTGTTGCAAATTATAAGTTACTACGCTGTTTACATTTCTTTGAGTATTACCAACTGAACTACTGTATATCTATGAGAGTCTTCGGGCTGCTTTAAATTAGGCACAGAGGTGACAATATGCGATTCCGACTAAAGGCTAATTTCCACTCAGGAAAATTACCGTGGATTGGACAAGACAATTTTTCTCTGTGTTAAAGTCATTAGTTCCAACCCAGAGCTCACAAGACAAAGAAAAATTTTCTTGTCCGTTCCAATCCACGACCACTTTTCCTGAGTGGAAATTAGCCTTAACATTTTTAATCGGACTCGTACTTGCTTATTTTTTCTCCACTTGGCATGGAAAACATGTTATTCGATAGCTAAAAGCCTGATCTTTCCGAATATGAAAAAATGTATTCATACGCCAAATAATTCACGTACAATAGCGCGCTGAAGTTAAATTACCTTTTTTTGATACACCCTGTATAATGGCCCACAACTGCATGTTGTGGTCGGGTTGAATAAAACATTTTTGCTATCCAAAATAGTGGACTATTTCTGATGATACGTAGTCATACTGCAAGACCAGTTCACTGGCAAGACGTGAATACGCCCATAATCCATTCGGTATTCTGGCCATTGGCCTGCAGGCACGAGGCATGTTTGTGTGCTGAAGCTTCAATTTTGTTGCAAACAGTTTGGAATTTATTCCTATTTTTCCTTTGTTTCAGGTCGTGTTTGATAACAAGGCTAATTCGCGTCCGCCATATTAAGTTAGCCCTTGTACTTCAATCATTCATCACAACTGTCGCCGTAATTTACATCATGTACAGCGCATCAAACTTGGACCAGACATCGAAATGGGAAATCTCATTTACAGACAAGAGGTGTCAAGGTTGTTGTGTTATGCATAACTCCAGTATACAAGCCATCGTTGGTGAACGGCATATCTCGGAGAAGCTGCACAAGTTCTCTCGCGCTATACGACAGTATGATATTCCTGTTGAGATAATGAACGTCCTGCATGAGGCTGAACACCTTATCGAACAATTTGAACGAGATCTGAAGCAATACAATAAACTAAAAGATAGTCGTATGACTCAACTTCAAGAGAAACTTATTGAGGAAGATGTTCTCAAAGAACAGGATCTTGTTCCCAAGGCAAAACCAAAATGGAATAAACAACAAAATAAAATTTAAATAGGAAGTCTAACCACAGGAACACGGTCAGGGCCGCCGAGAAGGAAATATGGGGGGGGGGGAGGGGGCAGGCAGAGGCCATTTTGCCCCCGGCCCCAACTCCGAAAGGGGCCCCTAAAATTTCGTGACACAAGATAAATCCTCAGCGCCAAATATATAGTATGCAATAAATCGTAATTGCAAAACATCACTTCTCCCGTTAACATTTATGACGTCATAAGGCACTTGGAAATTTTGTGACGTCATAGAGACCCTCACCAGCCTCGTACCCAGGCTCTTTAGTGATTAAGAGCGTTCGGAGCTCTGGGTGAACTAGGCGCGCGGGGATTCTTGGGTAGACCCAGAGCTCAGAACGCTATTAATTACTAAAGAGCCTGGGTACGAGGCTAGACCAGTGGCTAGACCCTCACGACAACCTCTCGGCGGCCCTGCATGAACACGGTTAACTAATTTTCTCGTTTGCCAATTGCAAAGAGGCCGAACTATGGGATGCCAAGCACTCTTTCTATTTTTGTAGAAATAGTTGCAACATGTATTATATAAAAAAGTAATATGCATGGATGATATATAAACCCGGAGTCCCGGCCGATTCAAACGTAAAATTTAAGAGAAAATAATAGAGAGTTTAAGCTTCGCGTTATACGGGGCAAGCGGCAAACGCCAGGCGAAGAAAAATTTTACGGTATCGGGCAATAAAGAGTAAGTGAACTTGCTGTTTTAAAACTGAAATACAGAATTTTTCTTTCGACGCAAGGAAGAAAATATGAAACGAAAACGTTCAACGAAAATTTTGCCAAGAAAGTTCGAACCTGCCGTTTGCCGTTCCCGAAAACGCGAAGCTTAAACTTCCTAATAAAGCAAACATTTTAAAGTTCATTCTTTAAGCTTTTCCACGGTAGGTTACGTTTGAAGTTTCCGCAGTATTGAATCACTGTTTAATTTACAATTCCTGAAATATATTTTAACAATGAACAATATAAAACTATTGACCCTGCTGTGAATATTTTGGCCTTATAAATTAAGATATGTTTTTCTAAAGGATTTGACATTACTGTATTAAAGATATAGGTTTATAGCATGAACAATTGAAACAGTGTTTATATAATTCCTGAAATTTTCTAACAATGAAGTAATTATTGTCGAATATGAAAATATTTATTGAGCTGTAGGCTAGTTCAGTGCATGACTTCAGTTCCAACGGTATTGTTGAAGTTTATATTTTAGTTTTATAAATTATTAAGGTATGTTTTTATATAGAACTTTTCATATTATACTGTATTAAAAATAGGTAGCATGATTATTCGTTTCTAAGGATATATGTTATTAAAAGTCTGGACATTTTATGACTGGACTTTCTGAGAATTCAGGTGGATTGGTGTATTTCAATTGTGCATGGTGTTCCGCGTAAAACAAGTTCATTAAATTTCTGGCTTTTAGCGTTCAGAGAGCACATTTTCTGTTTGATTGCGATCAAAATCGCATTGCCACGCCGTTCGAGATATAATGCAAAGCTAGTATCTTGTGGTTGTTAAAATTATTCTCAATCCGGTTTCAAATAAGGATGGTACTGACGTACCAACTAGCTGTGGGTTGATCATTAAATCTTTTAAAAAGTGCCACTGAAACGAAATTTTCAACCCATTTTTATTGGCTCAATATAAAGTACTCATGCACGTTCCTGATATACTTTCTGAAAACAGAATTAGAATTGGCCTTTTCAAACGAGTTTTATAGGTTGCCAAAATTTAGATTTTAGCACTTCCGGTATGAACGTTTGCGTGAAGAGTACCGACTCTCAACTTAGCGTATAGAGCTATTAGCGATAATCTACCTCGTGGGGGAAGACTCTGTCGGTCCAAACTTCACCAAACGCACTGAGATATGGCTCAAAGCTGATTGGACAACGAACTAAGCCCCCCCTGGCGGATAAAATATTTGAATATTTTTTTTTTTTAGTATACTAATTTAGTACTTTATCATCATGCGTGGAAATAATATAGTGCAAAGGTCAGATGACAAACATGAAGGATGTGTGGGAAGCAATGGCCATATAAACAGCAATCTTGTGACAAAGAGAATTTATTAGTTATTTGTCACATGACTTTGCACTAAAAACTATTCATAATTAAATTATGCAACAATTTTTGGCGCTTTTACAGGCGACATGATGAGAAATTTTACAACACATGTGGAAAGGAATTGAGCTTCACGCATTGGTATCCGCGCCAGCCTGATAATTATGGAAACAGGGAAAAGTGTGGTCCCATGCTTGTGCAAGGTGTTCATACAGCAAAGTGGAACGACATCTCTTCACTGACTCTTGTGACAGCAACTCTCATACATATGTCAATATAAAGTACCAAGATGTGAGTATCTGACATGTTATACATATGCTTGACGGATTCAAGGATGAAGCCTGACCTGAAAACTATAACACGAACTTTGATGTTACAAGCGAAGACTCTTTGTTTCAAATCTAGCTAGTAGCTATAGTGGTATGACTCGGAGGCATCCTTCGCTCGAACCGTCGACTTCTTGTTATCGGTATAGTTTGATCTATAAAAATTAGCAAAATTTTATGGGGGCAGAATCAATGTGGGCCCTGAACAGCGCAATACTCTGATAGCGGTTCAAATTTTAATTTTTTCAATCTAAGCTACATGTTATCATGCAAGTCAGTAAGTGTATCAAGTGTAAATATTTTTATCATATACTGAGCTATTTCAATTAAGGTTGTCTACGAGCAAAGCGGAAAAGTCGAATACGAGCGCAAAAGGCTGCTGGGAATCGCTTACAAATTAATGAATTTTCAACTAAGCGATTCCCAGCAGCCTTTCGCGCTCGTATTCGACTTTTCCGCTTTGCTCGTGGACAATAGCTGTATACGTGACCTGACGTGGTGAGTTGCTCACGCCATCTCGCGTGTTGTCTAGCGCGTTGCATGTCAACTGCTGACGTCATTATAAATGCCAATTAGTAAAGAAAGGTGCGCTATATCTCATTGTTTTTTCCGTTGGCCATGTTGAAATTTTGCGCGCTGTAATGGACCACAAAAGTCTTTCAGTGTACAAAAAAAATTCTGTAATTCCAAAAACTTCAATATTTCGACGAAAACGACCCAGTTACGTTTTTGAAAAAACTAGCATTATAAGATAACTTAAGCTATGTTATAACTGGCATAACATAGCTTCAGTTGTCAGTCTATGTTCTAAGTAAAATAGCGCGCGGACACCGTGCTTCTCAGTATACCAACTACACAAAGCAAAAGAGCATATTTACGAGTTTGTCCATTACTAGAAATACCAGTCTCAAACTCACCAACACCACTGGCCGCAATCAACACTCTACGGTGATTGAGCTCATTGTATTTTCATATCATTGAATGAAATAACCGTCCAATAGGGATAGCTGAGATGAAACGTGCAACCACAATAAATAATATTTAATGAAGTTGAGACAAAGGATTTGTGCACGGCGAGGTACAGTTCAACATCAAACAAAGGCCATTTTTGTAGCTTTGAAGTTTGCCGGTCTTCCAGACCATCATATCTTGACAGACTATATGATTCGTGAAAACGAATAATGACGTATTTTTCTTTTTAAAGATGATTAAAGCAACAGAACAGGAAAGAAGTCATGAAACATAGTTGTAGTATATAGTATCCCTTGTGAATTATGTAGTAAGGTACGGGCCATTATTTATGGTGGGGTGTGGCACCGAAGAGAAATGTTTTTCGTGCCAAAAATTTTGCCGACCCAACAATTAAAATATCAAAAATTTGATTACCCAACCTCAAATATCATTTAAAAAATAAAAACCCACCCCTGGCCAAAAACGTTAGAAAAGGATGTCATTCAGTTGTCACATATGTCCTTTACCACTTCTGTAATACGAGTTTGATAACGTTCGGCTTGTGAAATTTACTGACTTTTCTGCAGTCTAAAGCTTCATGTTGTCTGCACATTTACTTTCTTTGGAGACACCATTTGTCTCCCAACAAATCGGAAAATCATCAAGATAGTGACTCTGATTGATTGATTGATTGAAATATTGTATTGACATATGACTGTTGACATTGCAGTTTTCAGTCTTCGATATTTGAGTGAGTCATGCTTTGGAAATGACAATAAATTTTTATTACCCAACCTTTGAGTTGTTTCGTTTTTCATTTACCTAACCTTTTACTCACTCAAAATTTTGTTTACCCAACCGTTTTCTCTTCGGTGCCACCCCCCGCCATAAATAATGACCGGTCCCTAATTCAGATATTTCATGTGCAGAAAAAAAGCCTGATTAAATGTTTAATTTGACAACTGTTTTGAGCTGAAGAGTCTCGATTTCCATACTGTTCCTCAATCCTCGTGCCCAGGGCCGCGCTACGTTTCCCTACGTAGCGGAATGACGTAGAGACGTTGTCCTAGCGCTTCAGTTACAACGGCAAATCGGAAATTTTCACGACCCCAGTACGTCTTGTGACAACGCAAACATTTCAAGCAGACAAGTGTTACAGTACTTCAAATTTTCCCAGCAGAATTGTAATTTTTACCACAAAGCCTTTGTCTTAACCTCCCCAAACTGTCATTTTATTTAAGTTAAAACATAGTTGGAACATTCATCAAACCTTTATTGAAATGCCCTCCGTAACAATGGAAATTTTGTGTGTGAATGTTTATACTGTGAAAAAATTATGAAAAAACCCTGATTAAATGTTTGATTTCACAACTGTTCTGAGGGCCTGTTTATATGATCCTGCGGCCAGGCGGGACGGGATGCTTACCGAGATCCCGCTCACAATACAAAATCGAATGAGTGTTTATATGATCCCGCCAATTATCTCGCCTAGACGGGATCTCGGCAACAGATGCCGGGATCCCGCCTAAGCGAGATGAACTTTTTCCGAGAGTGAACTTTTCCCTTGAGCATGCGTAAATACCTTTTCTGCAAAGAATATGACGTCAAGCACCTAAATGACTTCATCCCGGCAATGTATTCTGTCCATATAAACACGCTATTCCCGTCCCGTCCGATCCCGCCTAGGCGGGATCATATAAACAGGCCCAGAGCTGAAGAGTCTCGATTTCCATACGTTCCTCAATCCTCGTGCCCAGTGCCACGCTACGTTTCTCCGCGCTTCAGTTACAACGGCAAATCGGAAATTTTCACGACTCTTGTGACAACGCAAACATTTCAAACAGACAAGTGGTACTTCAAGTTGTCCAGCAGAATTGTTTTTACCACAAAGTCTTTGCTTTAACCTCCCCAAACTGTATTAAATTCATACAGTGGACAGTAGACAACAACTTTTATTCACAATAATTTATTTGAAGAAGTTCGTTTTGGCTGTCGTCGTTGCCTAGCCGCCGTATATGCTTAAGCTAAGGACCCTTAGTTATTGACATTCACTTAAGCCCTGGGCAAACTATAGGAAACATTGTTGCGGAAACATTTGTGATTACCGATGTTTCCACAAATGTTTCCCTGTTTGCCCACCCGTGGACACATTGTTGCGGAAACAAAATTTGCTTCCCGAGAAGCAATAAATGTTTCCTAGCAAATTCAGAAACATTTGATGTTTCCCTATATGTTTCTCCGGCACTAATGTTTCCTAGTGTCTGCCCACTCTGGCCTCTGGGAAACATGACGAAACATTGGCAGGAAACAATATTTCCGCAACAATGTTTCCTAGTTTGCCCAGGGCTTTACAGGTCGTTTGGGGGTGTTTTTTGTGAATTCATTGACTATTGCTACAGCATTACTAAACTTTATTATGCAAATATTTAATTATAGGTCTTTACAAACTTAAAGGTACATGAAAGACCATGCAAGGCAGGCGCTTAAATTTTTCTTAAATAGCCTAATTTTTGTTATGTTTTTCACGGGTTCAAAACAAAGTTGATTATTTCTCGGTTAGAGCAGGATGAATATTATTCTTTAATGAAGGAAATAAACAATATTGCTTTTTGCAAATACA